CTGCTGGTAAATGGATCCCCTCCCCCTCGGGGGTTTTCATAGTGGGATCTAGATGGCGTAGATATGCTGATATGCGGGTATGTGAGCGTGATGTGACCGAGCGCTTGTGTGCCCTTACCGGTAGGTATCTATTGGGTTAAATTCTGCCTCTGTTTGCAAAATACGAGGGGCATATCCCTTTTCGTGATATAATTTCATGTTGTATAGATAGGTAGATTAGGGAAGACGGAGGCTGCGATTTGATTTGATTAGGAGGTGTTCGGAGGGGCAGATAAGGCTGATTGGAAGGGGGGGCGTTATGGAAATATGTTTTTAATGTGGGTGGCTTATTGAATTAGCTAAGTTCGAGCGAATTGAGGCGAAACTAATCTGTTTGATGTGCGCCGTGTTTATTTCGCGTTTGTATTAACTCATTAATTCGCGCGGATGCTGTGAGAGCTCGCTTGGAAGTTGGGAAATTGAAGTTGAATTATCTATATGTGTTGCTAAACGTCGTGTGATCTTGTTATTGAGTTTTGTCGTCATAAATATACATATAGCAAATAGTTACATTTTCTTGATCTAATTGCAATGTTTTTAGAGTGCTTTACTCCTTATTAAACGATCCTCGATATAGTAACAATATTAAACTTCAAGTTAATAAGTATTTTAAATTAAATTACATTAAAAATTTAAGAAATAAATAAATCAAAGATGCACATTGAGCCAGTACTAGTTACCTACAAACATCTAAGATCACAAGAATCACAGTTTAATTAAATTTTCATTGTTTTACCTTAAAACGAAACCGTTTTAAACCGTTAAACGTGTTTTAATTAAATAGTACTACTCGTACATAACTTTAGCTGCAAGCAGTATTTATTGTGTTTTAATAAACAGTCCAATTATTTGTGTGCCTTGTCAAACATTGTGTCCCCATTGTCGACAATATTTTTTACATCAAATTGTCCACTTCAAGGACAGTATTATCCGAATTATTGAATTCGTTTAACAAAAGCTGTGTTTTGTTTGCAACACAATGGAAGTGACAGTCGCAGCGCACTCTTTGAGTTTACAGTACACTGAAAATTAGAGGGCCTGCACTGAACTTTGCCTACTTGTGTATCTTTGTCGGCATTCGGTAAAGATATCGATCGTCGGTATGCTGTTGACAGTGAAATGGGTATAACAATTAATAAAACTCTTCCGACGACGTACAAGTGTACGCGTTCTTCAATCGGAGAATTTGAGGTATTTTTTCGCCTTATTTCTGATTAAATCTCGTATTATTAAACAGGCATGTCTTTGAAGGTACCTACATTTGATATTATAAACGAAAGGCTCTGTTCTACGGTTTAAATAAAACTAGGGTAATTTGTTCTAAAACTTAGCCAGAATTCGGTGCTACCCGCGCTATTTTTTTACTATTTATACAAAATATATAAACGGATTATGTTTATATACTATTGTAAATATTAATCCTAACGTAGATAAGTTCTAAATTTTGTCACTTCATGTTCATTTGTTCTCTATATCTCATTGTTTGTAAAATTGGTTTATTGTTAAAAAGTAAATAGATCTAAAAATAAACGTTTTATTATAATATAAAATTATTTAATGCTTACGAGATTGTAAGTTTTTTATTAAATCGTTAAGCACCTTCAATATTAAGTATGTAATTTTTTTAATACATATGTAAAAATTAAATCCCTCTTTCGCTCTAGGGCATTATGGCGATCACATTTCTAAGTTCCTTTTACTGATTGGTTCTTTCACTGGCTAGTATTTGATCAGACGTCTGTGCACTGCCAAATACCAAGGAAACAATTTATTGTTTCCTTGGTATTTGAACCCAAGACCTCTCGTACTTACCGTCATGCTCGGTAACATGTTTAACTATTGAGCTACAGAGAAGGTCAAACCAAGCTTAATCCTTATATTCAGAAATGTAAGTACTTTAAGAAGTTAAGGTAAAACAAAAGCCAGTAAAAAAGTAACAGCGCTATAAAATTGACTGCGTTTTTCATCCCATCGGCGTTCGAAGAGTCATAAAATTACCAGTAAACAGTAATTTTTTTTCGGGAAATAAAGGCGCCCCCACATTCGGTTGACTTTTGTAATCGGCTTAGCGTGGACCCCTCGGAATTAACCAGTAAATTCCCCCGAGATGGTCGCTGTGTTATAGTTTGATGAGAAACTCTTATCTCCGGCTTATAAAATCGGTTTCGCGTAATTGAGTCGTAAAGGGAGCAATTGAAAGTCCTATAAATTATTCTGCGATGTGTTTAATACTTGTATTGTTTGGTCTGATAAGTGTAATTCATTATACAAAATATCTATTCAAAATTAAATGAATTAAAAAATAAAATCTATCATCAATTGTACTGTACCTAATAGGTTCCACAACTCGGTTGTCTGTATGTATGTGTTTATATATATATAATTTACTAAAGTTTCTGTTGATAGGTGAAAGTTGTCGCATTTTGGTCGTATTATGTTATTTCGTTACTAGAAAACACTTGTAGAAATTTACGCAAAGATTGCTCGATCGATTTACAACACCTAGAATATTAAGTTGGATTGACATTCCACTGTACAAAATACTGTACAAACACGTTTGTCTTTCCTTTTCTATAATAAAAAAAATTCATAAAGTCACGTGACTTTTAATTATTAATCAGTTGTTCTTATTTCAAAGTTATTTTTAACAGTTATAAATTTTTACACTTTATCTGTGGAAATTCATTTTTTATTGACATGTCATAAGCTACCTTTGTCATAGAGTATTTTGTCAGACAGAATGCTTCAATAAAGTGACATGAACTCAACTCGGAGAAAAATGACGGCTAATAACTATAAACTTCTAATCTTATTGCGGCACAAAGGACCTGCCATGACGCGGCGAATCTTGACGCAGACCATTTAATATTTAGGTATTACGATATGCACAGGTACTTACGAGTACAGAAGCTCAACAGACTTCACTGCGCAGGAGTTTTAATTATATGAAATATCTTAGAGATTTCTACATACATAATAATATCTATACACATCATAATAATATCTATAACACAGTCTTTGTAAGATATAAACAATCTATCTATAGGGTTATGTTTGAATCGTCTAATATTATAGGTTATATGTGATCTAAATAAAAAAACTGTTTAATTTGATAAGATAAAACAAGGTTTTTTACAACGCAAAACGTCGAAGTTAAAAATCATTTTTCAAATAAGTTTAACTTAATATATCGCGTTTTAAACCGTTAAAGTGTTTTATTTAAACTCAAAACAGTTTATTTAGTATAACAACTCGCATTTAATATCTTTATAAGTGGTACCAACTTAAATATTTATTTATTTCTTTATATGTGTAGTAATTTATAATATTAAATGTTAAAAGTGTTAGAATAAATGTAACAGTAGTAGGATTGAACCACGATACTTGATCTAATCCCTGAAGAGCACACTAGCGGTAAACATATGTATTTGGACTTTAGTAAACACTTTTCACTTTTGTTCACGACTGTACTAGACCAATATACATTTTCGATATTAAAACGGACAATACACCATTTCGGTCACGATAATCTTTGGTAGTATTCGATTCTAGTTACCGAGAATCGATTCGACATTTCGGATGGCTCGTTCGTAATACTTTACGAGCTTTTTGTTCGATAAATGACATGACAACTTACGTGTTGTCTGATATAGGATGATCATTCTGTCAGTGGATGACCAAAAAGTTTTGCATATATTTGGTAGTGTCAACCTATAATGTCTTATTTATAAAGGGCTTAATACTACATACCTAATTAACTTGCAATATCTAAATCTAATAATTCTTACAAAATAAACATTATGAGTAAAAAATATAGTTAGTTTATGAATTATTTTGTAGGTTTTGTCTTAACATGTACTTACTTAGCAATGCAAAGTGCGAACAAATGTATATTTTAAAATAGATAATACTTGTTTTCTCAAATATGCTATAAAAAATTAAAAAAATAAATTTGTGAATTCGATACTTAGTATCTCTAACATTCACAAACTATTCTATTGTTATTTGTCAAACTTGTCATTCTATATTAGACAGGGTATAATGTTTTTAGTAGGATCGCGGCGCGCTTTTTCCTCCGGACGAATGCATTTTTAATTGAGTGAAGCACTTTTGTGGACTGTAAAACGGCCACCGGGATACTTTGTGTTTGATTGACGTCTGGTAATGGGCAGGTGTGTAAGCCGATAGCTTTTACATGTGCTCGGGGTCGTAAGATTTATATTTGTTTAAAAGTTTCTATATAAAACACAGACAGTGAAATTCCGTTGCCCCAGTGTAGGTTTCTAGTAGGTATATCTGTTAACTTGCTTGTTCGACCTATAAAAAATATTATAAATCCGAGATTCGAACTTGTGCTTAACGCTAGGCAATCAAGCTTTAGAACAAAGCAAAGTAAAGCTAATAGATATTTCTTATACTTCTTCTTACTTCATAAGTCGTATAGAATTTGCTTCTATAATATATTATTTAGTAATTAGCATGGTATTTGCTTTGTTTTTCTCCTAAATATAATAATTATGTTAAGTGCATGTATTAATATAAGTTATTTTCACTTGAAAACGTTAATATTTTTCACATGTTAATTGCATATGATGACAGTATATTAATAAAAAATCGATTACAAATTTAAAAAAATAGCGCGAGAGGTGAATGTTTCAATAGGTTGAAAAAATACTGTCTATAGTTTACGCGAGTAGTACACATTTAAATAAAACACTTTAACGGTTTAAAACGCGATATATTAGATAATAACTAATAATAATAATAATAAATAAAAACTAATATATCGCGTTTTAAACCGTTAAAGTATTTTATTTAAAAGGTTGAAAGAACTCGACGATAACGTGCAGTACGGTAGCTCAATTGGTTAGAGCAACAGTACGGAGCGCATTTTTCTTTAATTTTATTGGTATTGCTATTTGTCTTAATACATAAATAATTAAATTATTTGATTGTTCCAGTCTCTACAGTCAGCGGCACGACGAGCAGGCACGTCTTGTGCCAATTGTAAGACAACGACGACAACATTATGGCGTCGAAATCAAAATGGTGAGCCGGTGTGCAACGCGTGTGGACTGTACTACAAGCTACATAATGTAAGTTAATAAAATATTTATTCTAACGTCATACTTTCGAGATTTTTCGTTCTAGAAGTAATTTACGAAGACACAGTATACAATCATATACCTAGAACTACTAAAATTCGTCTTTTAAGCTACGAGTCACGTTTACACGAGATATTAGTATATATATAGTAAAGCAGTATTAGTGACTTTATGCTAAAAAATACTTATTATTAATATATCCATTCTAAAACGGTTTAAATCGAGTTATTATCCATATTATTAAACCCTGCCTTAAGTTCATTTAAAATTAATGTTTTGTTAAAAAAATAAATGTGAAATAAAACACATTTTAACGGTTTAATTCGCGTTTTAAACCGTTATGCATTGTTTTAAATAAACACCTACGGGCGATAACTATTTAAACGTGACTATTGTTTAATCTTAAAAATGTGTAGACAACCACTGCCCTCCAAGGAGTCGGAACGATTTAAAAAGATCCCCAACCCCAAGGCTATTCTCCCGGGATGAATTGACAATATCCAAGTCCGGGGAACTAAATGGCCCCACACCCCATAACGTGTCATAACACCGATGTGAATGAATAACGAGTTGGTTATGACTGAGCGATTAGTTTATTTGCGGACCTAATCTCTTTTGAATGGAAATTAATTAAAATGCAACAGGATTAGTTTTGGTTATTTATAGGTTATTTTTATCTGTTGCAATTTGAATATGAAGATAAAATAAACTTATTATATTTTAAATTCAGTTTTCTACAATAAAAAACAAACGAAAATAAGTTTTCTTAAAGACACGCAGGTTGTGTGGTTGGTCACCACACAACCTATATGTATATGTATTGCCTAGCATTGCGTTAAGCGTGAGAGGTACTGGGTTGGAATCCCAGGGAAACATAAAATTGTTTCGGTCGAGCAGGACACAGAAGTCTGATCAACTACTTGCCCGTTAAAAGAACGGATCAGTGAAACGGACACAGAAATGTGTTCGCCCCATGCCCCACGAGGGGGATACGGGCGTTCACAGCTTACGTGGTTACAAGTCACACGAGTCATTTTTAGATAGGCATTATTATGTTTCCCTGCTATAGTTATTATTTAAATTCAAAGAACCAAGGCTTTGCATCATATATTACACGCTATTTTAACCCAGGACTTTTGCTTAACGCAATGAGTTATACCATTGAACCACAATACTAAGCGAATAAAATTAAAAATATCAGTCTCTATACAAAATTTTATAATTAATTGTGTTTGCAGTTTGAAATAAGCTTAACTTTTGTACACTATGAGAAAGCAGCATTCAAATAACAAAACTTCCTTATGCTTTTGTTTACATAACTTAACTCTTTAAGTGCCCAAACATATCAAAGAATAGCTCAAGATCAGTTCTTTAAACCTGGCAACATTCCCACAACTCTCGGAGCCCTGTAAGCGATACAGTTGTAAAGCGCAAAGCACAATAGCAAATTTTACGAAAGCGACCCCTCGAGTTTTTTTGTTGAAACGTATACTTTATTGCTCTAAGTGCCTTTATAACAATGTTGTTTGGTCTAATTATTCGGAAGGAGCGACAAAAGGAAATGGGTGTGCTTGAACGACGGGTGCTCGAAGTTAGCGATGATACACGCATCAGTATTTATATTTTTCACATTGGATATGTAAAGGGGGCACTGGAGGACTGAAAGGCACAAAGAAGGGTAATTGTCAGGCATTTCAACATCAACATTAAACAATTGAGCTGTTCTTATTGTTTCTTTTTGGGGTACAAAAATCCATCGGTGATGCATGATCTGCATTAAATTACGATATTCCTATCTTTAAATATACACGTGCCTAATCAATTTAAAATTTTTCTGAAACGTGTTGGACTTCGTCTATCTGGATATCGTAATAGGTGGTAGAAATATCAAAATTAAACCCAAAAAAGTAAACCCTACGCTTATCTGTCTTTCTCTATCATAAAAGCCACAGAAATGTGTCTGTCCCATGCCATACATGTCTACCCTCAATTCGCACATTATTATGTGCTTATTGTGTACTTTAAATTGATATTTACGTTGGTTTACCTTAATAGGATTAACGCTGCTTAGTTTATAAGATTTTCAAGCTTCATTTTAAACCTTATTGCTTTCAAATAAGGGTTAAAATCGTGTCAACTCCGCCATAAACCATTCGAAGTTTTTTGTAAGCTTTTAATATGTTTATTTAATTTACTACGCTCGTTATTCGGAACCTCAAAGTACGATTACGTTTTTGTCGACTCTATAGAATTTTTTGTTACATTTTCGGATAGCCACAATAATTCGAATTAACTTTTTGCTCTCTTCCGGTTTTAATAAAATAAAATAAGTTTAATGCGTATATAACATTGGAGATCAAAATTATTATTATTTTACTACGACTGACAGTTCATTCGTATCTAAAACCGTCAAAAACGGATATATTTAATGTGTCTCACTCGCATACATTGCCAGTACCTTCGTGCGTAGTTCTTTGTTTTTTTGCTTAGACAAAAAAAATATTTCGCCTCCGCAATACAAACAAAACGTATTTGCATTAAGTGCGTAATTTCTTCTTATATCTCATACAAGGTACACATAGGTTTCAAAAACAAATATTTCTCTCCTTGACCATGGCTGCTGCAAAGCATGCTGCAACTGACACTATTTAAATATTTAAATAAAGGTTTAGGAAGGCTCTGTTCTTAAAATAACATACGACATGAGAACTCTTGAAATCGATATCAAAAAGAAAGCCGTAATATTTGTGTTTACTGTGTTTCGTTGAAGTACACTTCACTCACAAAACACTCTTAAATATGTATAGGAGGTGATCAGTAGCTGAATGATTGTTAACACTAAAACTAAAAAAAAGACAATATGAAAATCATTGTAACAAGAAATCTTCGTAAAACAATGCTATCCTTATACGATGCACGTTAAAATGCATAACAAGTCGAGACGTGAGAGCTCTTACGACCTTTCGAAACTAGATCGGAACGTTAAGTGCCTTCTATTCAAAAGTATTGGATTACCAGGTTGCATACAATGTTAGAGAGAGACCCACTATAATAACAGCTCAAATGATACATTTCAAATACAATGGGGCGATCAATTCAATTTTTGAATTGAGAACGCTCGTCTAACTTTTTTTTTCTCCGTCTAAAGTGCTGTTTTGTTCAGCCAGCATCCGAGGGATTCTGACAGTCACCATTTTTTTTTTCACCTATTTCTCTCGTACATTAGATTTTAATATGAGGCTATTGGTCGGTAACATTTCGCTTTACAAGGCAATTAAGCGTCGAAAGCTTAATGCTAGAATTAACGTTACTGGCTGGAATAACTGTTGAACCTAATCGCGTGCGAGATAAAAAAGTTTAATTTACTCATTACATTACACATGCGCTGGCCGGCCGCCAAACGGCAGCTACGCCGGGCGAATGTTATAATGACATCAATTTGAATATTCAAACTTCGAACGGCGATTCCATTAACATCGAGTCGGAACGGTTCGCGCCGAAATATTAAGCCCTCACTCATTATGCGATATTTACGGCGGCAAGAAATCAATTTTCGACTTTCTAGTCGCTGCGCTGTCAATATGAACGATCTAATTTCGCCAAAACGTGATCGTTTTAAAATAAAAGAAATAAAATGGGCGTCCGTGCAGTAGGCCGGAAAGATTTTATCTGTTGGCTATACAGAAAAAATGGCGCCCACCGGAAGTGTCCGAGCGCGGCGCGCGGCGTGTTACCATTTTTTTCTTTTTTTTTGTTTTAAATAGCTTTTTCCCGGCAGCATTCGGCCGGAAATGCGTTTGCGTAGAACTGGCGAGCCCGGTGGTTCGATAAAGTTTATAAGCAATTTGGTTGCTCCATACACATTGTTAGAGTTTAATATCGTGTATCTCCCGTGGAAATAAAACGGTTTTGTTGGATCCGAAGACGGAGTGTAGCGCTAAATAGCATGTTTTTATTCATGAGGTTCTCATTCCGCTTAGCGAGCGATTCTCGCCTGATTTATTGTCTTTGTGTTTGGGAAACTGGGCTCCTTCAGGATATATTGCTATTCCGAACGAACACCTATACGATCTATTTTAGATATCCGTCGTGTCACGAAATACCTCGTATATCTTCATTTAATTGTTTCTTGCGGAACAATTCTCTTTATTGTCACTTTAATATAAAGGCTCTATTTTAACTAGACGTCATTTAAAAATACTCTCAGAACTTGAAGAAAATTTGTTTTGAGTTGATTGTTTAAATCATTGTTTATTAAACCTTTTGTTTCATTAAATTATGTTTGTCGTCGATATGGATCTACCAACTGAGGCAGTTAAAAAGCTATGCTAAAACAATATTTTAAGTACTATTTGGCGATGTATTTCGAGAGGGGGTTTTACAAAAGGCAGCTGCTTGGTTCGATCGCAAGTGCGATAAAATTGTGTCCTTCCACTCGACAATTATTGTGCTTTCGTTTCTAAGGATTTGCGCAACAAACGTTGCCATTTTTTTTAATATTACACACGGTGTAATACACAGCGCTGTATATTGTTCTTTGAGAGTTTATTATACATACAGAAATAAAGTAATGTGCATGTAAGTTTGTCAAAGCTTTAAAATTACAATTACAATTACAAAAATAAAAAAGTTACTAGTGCCTAGATTGAGTTTAACCGAAATAAAGACATGCTAGTGTCATGTGGTGAATAAAATATATACTAAAAGCCAAAAATAGGCTTTCTATCTAGGAAATATATTTATTGACTTAAAAGTTCAAGGCATAATATAAAATGCGATATACCTACTAACTAAAAAGCCCTTTATAGTAATGTAGTGACAATCGAATAGAGAACATTCCTGTGGTTGAAGGTTCTATTTTTGTCTTAAACGGACAGAATAAACAAATTTACACATAAGAATATAAATTACTTGAACTACTTAAAACCTATGAATATTAACGTATCCTAAGTAAGTAATTAAGTATAGACGTATTAAGATATGCATAAATT